CCATTCCCTCAAACAGTTCAGATCACTTGAACTTTCATTTCGAAAAAAGTGCGCTGGAATGAATGCGCCAATTGGTCTCACAGGAAACTGGTCTTTAATTTACGATCTTTTTCCAACCTCGCTAAATACGTGATGATCCTTCCTTTGTCATCGAACGCCACTCAGAAAAAACACTGTGCAGCATCCAATGGATAATGACGAGCTGCAACCCTACTTCTAATTTCGATTTATCTCTAACCAATTAATGTTAATCTCCGAAATCTTTGATTTTAAATAATGAATTCTTACGATTGTTAAACCTGTAGATGAGCATCGTAACAATTTAGTGACTTAATTGTCGTTTGGATTAATATTCAATCTGGAAATAAGGGCAATAAAAGCAACAATTAGAGGTTTGTCAAAATGAGTTGCGATAATTACACATTTTAGCATTAATAATATATGGAAGTTGTTTGATTTTGTTTTCGCCATTTGGTCGTATTGTCAGGGAGACCTAGAGGAAAACACCATATTCAGAGTCCATAGTATCCATGATAATCTCCAGCCAGACATCGGACTTAATACATTGATACACTCCCGGACGTTTCGCCGGCATTGGGGTCGGCATTGTCAGTGAGCCTTGCTATTCTTGTCACATCACTCAATATCGTCAAAGAGAAAATCCACCCCATCTTGGTCTTCATATGTTCGAGTAATAGTAAATGTTATATGGAACCACAATCTTTTAACTATACAGTTGTGCTTAGCTCTTATTTTCACTAATAAATATATAGCTCATTTAGAGGTTCTTTAGGTTTCAAAGTTATTAATTAAGTATATGGACGGCTAATTTAATCTTTGAAAATACAGCGAGTTAAGTCTATAAGAATTACTTAAATGAATGGATAATGATGGAAAAGGTTTACGTCTTAACTTTCTTTCATGTCATGCATCTGATTTCAGAGTAGAGGTTAATAAATCACTGCGTCTTGATTATTTAATTGGCAAGGCTCAAGAAATGGGACATTTAAGGAGGATTTAACTCAAAACCAATATCCAATAAGAGTAATCGATAACTATTTTTAAATGCTAAGAAAAAAAGGAGAACCGACAGACCAAAAGAGGCAAGCAGATCACTCCACAAGATTCCTGATGTTACCTTAGTGTCAGCTTCCGAATGACCCCTTAGAAGGAGGAGAGTTATACTTATGTATAAAAGTAAACTAACATCGCCTTAATATGCTGTCTCTTCTAGAATTTTCTGCCTCCCTTCTTCTTTAAGTGTGTTGCAAAGTTTTGTGATCATGTAGTAGGGTATATTTTGGAGGACCTATTGACATATATTAGAGGTGATTTAAATATGAAACCGCATAGTGAGGCTGCTGAAACCCGAAATCCGAAGTGACTAAAAATGCTGCTAAGGAAGGATATCAAATAGAATACTCTAAATTATACCTATTTGGGAGAATACCGAAATGTTACATCTAAGCATAAATTTAGGTAGTCAGTATTAATTAACAATATTTGGAGGGGTAAGTGTGTACAAACAGTATAAAATAACATTTATTTCAGGAAAGAAAACTTTGAAGAAATATAGCAATTTCTGCCTCGTTTCCTCAACTTACTCTTTGCAGAATTCGGCTTTAATTTTAATCCTACCTATTATGTATAGTGATGCTCTAAGCGTGGCGGATGTGAAATTCGCCCTTTTCCCTGCTGTGCAGTCCCTTAACCCAGTGGTTCCCAAACTTTTCCTAGTCGCGGCGCCCTTTTTCAATTAAAATTTTTCCATGATGCCCTACCCTAGGTATGACTATTCGTAAGAGATAAAAATAAATAAAACTCGTGTATCTTCATTATTTTTTTACTTTATTAAC